CGTCTCACTTGACTCTGAACAGCTCACGCGCCTATTTCGCTGCCTCCTGCCTGGCCTCCACCTGTAACGTGGTCGCCTTTGGTTCGTCTCACTAGACGAATTCAGCGAAGACTCACTCTCTGCTGCGACGCGATTCCCGCACGCGCCGACAACACTCGAGAAACAACTGGGACTGTGGGAACCTGAGCCGCCGGAGCCACATTCCCTGCCATAGCTCGACCACCTGCACCGAACCCGAACGCCTACAAGATCAGCACTAGCTGATCAAGCATTGTTGGGTCTAACTGCGCGATCGTCGGCGGAAAAATAGGGCCCGGCATACCCCGCATCTCCAGCCCCAACACCAGGATCTCCCGCACCACCCCGCGGCACGACCGAGGCAAACACGGAAGTCTCGTTTCTCCTCTCGACCTCTGATGCGCTCGACTCGCGTTCAGCACCCTTTTCAACGAAGGTTCGCTATGCGATGTCGGATGGGTCAGCCGACCCTGAAATCGGAATCGAGAGCTCCATCTCCTTACACCCGGAAGGATGGAACAAGGAGAGTTCGTCACCTCCCAAGGGATGCTTGTAGGTCTCACGCGTCAACGCCTGTTCCAGTACGTTGAGCAAGCGTGCGGAAAAAGCGATCCTGAAGAACGACTAGCTTCCCTTCGATATTCAAGCCCTTCTGGAGCATCACCTTGGTCAACTGTTGTGGCGACATCTTCAAGATATGTGCCCGCAAATGCTAAAGCTCCGGCTGTCTCGACAGGTACCGTATAAAAATCTCCGACTTCCTTGAATTTTGCGGCATCTTGATTTGTCTTCCAAGGAACTCAACGCGTCAACCAACCAACAAACCTCAGAAGAAAAATAAACGAAGAACGCAGACAAGAGTGAGATCTCTCGGTATTCGTGCGCTCCGCTGGCACGGCTGCCGGTACAAATACCTTCTGTATACGCGGTGGGGCTTCCCAAACAGACTGCGCAAGCTCGCACTAACTGTCGACCGCGCTATCACAGTCACGGCACCGAACCAATTCCCACTTTTTGTTGCCACACCTGCAACTGTACATAGACATGCGCCCCTACGACTAGCAAACAATAACCTAAAAACCAGAAAAAACTAAAAAACCTAAAAAACTACTACCTGCAGGATGGGCCTTCCCCTAGGTTCAGTAGTACCCGCTCGGCCCTGTGCAGCAGTGTCCCAATCACCACGCACCGCAATACCACGTCTCAGTCGACAACTAGGCCAAAACTCTACTGCGCACGTGCTTGAGCCGCTTGCGCACACCCTAGTGTCGGCTGTGACCTACTCAGCCCCCCGCGCACTCACGGCGTACGCGCCCCGTCCAACCATCGTCGACTGAAATACTGCACACCGCAACGACTGCACCACACAACTATCCGAGCTCAAAGTACCCCTGCACTCAGGCAACCACCATACACTTTGGTTACCTACCGAAGCTCACTACCACACTAGGCGAAAAACCCGTCCTCACGACGATACCGCGCCCACGCATACGAATCGCGATCGTACAATCCCCCGATCATCCAACTCGGTCGCACGTCCAAGCAATTATCACTCCTCAATTGAACTTTTCATAATCGCTATACGCTAGACAAAATAAAAAGTAAGGAATGTAGGGGCGGTCGAGATAAGACTGAGAAAAGGAATTAAACGGTTTTTTTCGATTTCCGAACGAAAAAAAAAGAAATTAAAGATTTTTTTTCGAGAAAATGTATTTAATTATTAATTATATATTCTTTTATTTACAGCCGTCCGCTTCGAGCACCGCTTCCACAACAAAATGAATCGGTATATGTGGAATTGTCACCAAATATATAATTTGTATTATTTATCAATTTCATTTTTATATATATCAACCATTTTTATACTTTTTTACTTTTACAGATCTGATGTGGAAATTGTATGCGAGGTACATGCACCGAGGCGTGTCATAAATATTGATCTGGTGACGCCTCAAGTAATCGACCTTGTCACGCCTGGCCATAACAGCACGTTGCAGGATGAAAATGAAGGTTCCCTTCCTGCACCCGTCAACCAGCCGCATTGGACCGAATCACACACGTGTGCTGGTACCCGAACATGACATTGCATACGAGATATCGGGAACATCTTTTAAGAGGTAGGTAATAATAAATAATTCTTTCATTTTGTTTATTAATTAAAATTAATTTCAATGTCTCTTTCCAGCAGGTATACTGCTAGTTCCACTAAGCTAAATTTGTGCATCACACTGTATAAACGTAAATCAATTGAGTCAAATTAATTAAAATCAATTAAACATAAATTAATTTTAATATTTTAAACGCATTTCACATTGGGCGAGCAGGGAGAGAGGCCCGGACTCTTGCGCATGATCTAAGAGTGCTGATCTCATAGATCATGCACTTCAGATCACTGATCTGTGGCCTTTCTAGTTTACCTACTAACACGAATCAACAATAAGAAAAGATATGATGCAAAGAATTCGAACCGCTTGTGAAAACATCACAAGAGCTGTATTAATCAGAACAGTAGAATAATTTTAGCAGCCAATACAGTTATGTATTCAAGAAAATAGTGGTATCATTGAAAACCTACGTTGAATTCGGAAGAAAAGTTACAGGCAAGGGGACTCACTTTAATCTAGCACCCCAAAGGGAACACAATCCAATTACGTCCACGTCGTTGTTCCTGGGTAATGCTAATGGTACGATAAAAATTTGACCTGCAGATGACCTTGAAAATCGAAATAAGGATCAAAGTTGATGATAGCCTTTGGTAGCCCACTCAGTCCCCTACAAATTTTTGAGGTCATTTTTTGATAACGCTTGTTTTTTCTAGATTATGCACGTGATCGGATTAAAATGAAACATCCTGTATACAGAGATACAATTGAAAAAATAAAAAGGATAGATATAGATAGCCAACGGTCAAAACAGGAAATAGTAATTATAATTTATCAAATTCAATCTCTGTAATAATCAATTCCGAAATATTTTTGAATTCAGGATAGAAAGTAACTAAAATATTAGCTGTTAAAATTCACGCACATAGGCAATGATATTAAAATATTATTCATCCAACCATGTTTGCAAGAGAGCAAAATTACTATACGAGGTGTGTTCAAAAAGTAACGAGAATTTTTAAATTTCGCGGGTTTGGAGAGTCCGCTTGTATAAAATTTTTTTTTATTATGTTGGTACACATGCCCCTGAAGTACGATAAAATTTTCAGCAATATTCATTGCTTACTTTTTAAGTGGCAGCCGCTAACGTTAGACGTGTTTTTCGAGCTCGGCGATTTTCGTTTGTGAAAAAAATGGATCAAAGAATTTGTATTAAATTTTGCGTAAAAAATGAAATAAAGTGTAGTAAAGTTTGTCAAATGTTAACAAAGGCATATAGTGAGTCTGCTATGAGTAAAGCAAGGATTTATGAGTGGTATAAGCGTTTCCAAGATGGCCACGAAAACGTTGAAGATGACGAACGACCCGGACGCCCAAGCACATCAACAACCGATGAAAACGTGAAAAAAGTGAAAGAAATGGTTATGAACGATCGCCGAATCACAATCAGAGAAGTCGCTGATGATGTTGGCATATCAGTTGGCTCATGCCATCAAATTTTTTCGAATGTTTTGGGTATGAAACGTGTGGCAGCAAAATTCGTTCCAAAATTGTTGAATTTCGAACAAAAACAGCGGCGAATGGAAGTTGCTCAGGAGTCGCTAAATGAAGTCAATAACGATGCAGAACTACTAAAACGTGTTATAACAGGTGACGAAACATGGGTTTACGGATATGATGTCGAAACTAAGGCTCAATCGTCCCAGTGGAGACATTCTGGATCGCCAAGACCGAAAAAGGCTCGACAAGTGCGGTCGAATGTGAAGGTTATGCTCACTGTGTTCTTCGATTTTAATGGCATAGTGCATTATGAATTCTTGCCACAAGGTCAAACAATCAATAAGCAGTACTACCTACAAGTTCAACGTCGTTTGCGTGAAGCAATCCGAAAAAAACGCCCGGATTTGTGGCAAAACAATTCATGGCTTTTGCACCACGATAATGCGCCTGCTCACACTTCATTGCTTGATCGTGAATTTTTGGCCAAAAACGAAACTATAACGATGCCTCAGCCTCCATATTCGCCAGATATGGCTCCATGTGACTTTTTTCTATTTCCAAAAATAAAGAGAACATTAAAAGGCCGTCGTTTTACAAGCATAGATGACATTAAAAGCGAATCGCTGAAAGAGCTAAAAGCTATTACAAAGATCGAGTTTCAAAAGTGTTTCGAGGATTGGAAAAAGCGTTGGCATAAGTGTATTGTATCCGAAGGGGACTACTTTGAAGGCGACAACATTAATGTAGATGAATAAATAAATATTTTTTTCATAAAACGAAAATTCTCGTTATTTTTTGAACACACCTCGTAAATGTCAGTCTCCGGGCTTTTTAAATTTACGGACTATAAAATTGCAATACTTCTGGCAACGAAAATAGAGTCAAACAATAAGTTACGTTGTTATCTAGCTCTTCGTCTAAAGGATTTATAATATATATTTTCCAACTGCAAAAACTGTTACTAATTTATAGTCTATGAATTTTATTAATAAAAACACTTTTTTATTCATAAATTTTTACTTTACAGTATTATTAATATTTATATTTGTAACTTTTAATTTTCCAGTATTCATTAGTATTAATTTAGAAAATATATTATTATTTAGGTAAATATTACAAAAATGGTTTTGAAAGTTGTTAAGTTTAAGTATTAATTAGGCTACTTCGGTTTCGAATTTAATTATGCTGATAAGAATTAACAATTAAATACATTTAGTAGTCTATTTATGTAACAACTTTTTTACAAGAATACATTCTTTTGAACATATATAAAATATCATTGATCAATACATATCATATTTATAGTCGAATAAAAAAAAGTCATTCGGCTGAAAAAATTATCAATGAAATTATAATTCACTTTAGAAAAGTCGTACTTACTTCTAACAATATCTGCAATGGTGCAATAGGATTTAATTCATTGAAGTCAATTAAAGCTTGTACAACACTCTTGAAAAATCGATGACATATAGTACCTGCAAAAATTTTCCAAATTTATGAAAATTCATTTAATAACTGAAAAAATTCTTAACCTTACTATCAATAATTTTAAATAGCGCTAATATTTATTATTACAAATATATTCTGCATTCATCAGCTAACACATTGAACATAGTTGTCAAAATAGTACAAATCTAACTCACTTAATGTTTTGATAAATTTCCTGTATATCTATTACAATGAATGTGACGAAATGAAAATTATGTTATAAATATTCTATTATAAATATTCTATACTATTTTTCCATCGAAATTTCAAGATAATAATATTCATTTGTATTTCATAAAAAAAAGGAATCTGATAATCAATTTGTAATAATAATTCGACCGGAATAATTCCAAAACATACCCTTTCATTTTCTCGAAACTATTTATTTCCTGCATATTTCATTCTTAATCAGTGTTATGTTTTGATGAAGAAAGGGTATAGAAAAAGGAAAATTTGCGTATAGTTATTATTGAAACTCATTACAGTCTGATACAAATTCTGCACCTGTTCGATAAAATATTAAATGGCTTATTCAGGTCCGGGTTTTTCCTTGTATTCTTTTAACCACAGCCTTGTCATTTTTCCGGTCTCTACTCTGCTGCATCAATCACTTATTATTACTCCGCAACACTACTTCTCTATTATACTTTGCTGCTGCTGGCTACTTTTCGCAAAGATTAAAAAAGGGTTTCAGAAAAAAGAAAACTTAAATATATGATCCACTTTAAATCAAATAGCTTTTTTGTAACAACAAGATTAAAAATTAATGAGCGCAAAAGCTATTTTTTACACTACTATATGTATATTCTAGATAGTTGCTGAGATGTAATCTCCTCCCGTCGATTCAATTAAAGCACGAGGTACTACTAATCAACTGGAGGTGGTTGTGGTAAACTGAGTAATTGTAACCCTTCAAAAAAAAAGGAAATTCATTGTAGTGATCCTGTAGACAATCAAAAGAAACATCAAATATTAATTACCAGTGGCGTTGATCTTGTCGCATGTACTCTTGTTCTGGAGCAGATTGCGCTCGAGCTCTTTATCACTACGACTTATAATAAAGCCACCGTGTCTTTTAAATTTTTGTGAGATGAATAATTAAGCGAATTAGTGAATTTCATCTAAAAGTGATTTTAGAAACTGACATTCGAATCGCGACTATAAATGATGTTTGAGCGATGCACGAAGAGGTAGTTCAAAGATTGATAACAGGTTACGAAGACCTTTGTTGAAATAAAAGGTAAATTTATGTTAAATAAGTAGAAATAACAGCCATGCGATGCTCGAAATAAATAGAGATCACTGGAAATATCAAGTTTCAGTTGGTTGCCTACAGATACCTCACGCTGCAAATTCACTCCCGAGTGAAATAGGTGAGCCAAAGTCACCCGGTGGCAATGGCCACACAAGTACGTCGCACACGTCATTTCGTATCAACTTTACCCGTGGTTAAAAATGTGACACGCTTGCAAGTATTAAGTACGTATTTTATCTCTGTACCCCAAAGCCGAAAGACTGAACTAAATTCACTGTTCCAACAGTGGAAGCGCCAACCGTATACCTCATCATGGTATTTTCGTGAACACCGACACACGTGGTCAAAGTGTGGCTATGGCTATTAGGTATGCAAGGTCTGCTTAGTAGCAATATGCGCGTCGCAAAAGGGCGTATCATGCCGGACAGCCTCTTAATAATGTCTCAAGGCATGAAACGGGGCTGATCTGTACCCTGCATACCGCAAAGTAAACTGCCAAAACAAATTTTTCACCATTCAATTATTGAGTAGAAGGCAACATAAAAAATAAAAGAAATTGTAAAAAAAGTCAATAACTTACAAAAGAAGTTAGACAAAGAAAAAGCACGTTTTTCATCGTCTAGCTCTTCGTTATAAAGTTCAGACTTGTATTATAACCACAAAAGTCGTCGAGGTTGACGTAGTTACAACTGGCGTACGTACTCTAAATCACCGTCAAGGTCTCCAGTACGCAAAAGGAGTCGAGTTCAAAGTTATTGAAAGTCTTGCTTGTGCTCAGTAAGTACTCAACCTTCATCACTGAAACATTACAGAAAACCTACGGAGTCTGAAGAACGCGAGCCTCACTTATAAGCGACAAAAGAATCAACAAACGCAGCCTGCGAGGAGCATCATTAATTCACAAGAATGACTAAAGCAGCTGTGTATATAATCTTCGAGATGCGCTATCCCTTGATATCGTAGTGGCAAAAAATATGAACATAATCCGTGAGGTGCGTCAGTTAAAATTACACCTGACCGAAAGACGGTAAACACAATCTACAAGATGCATCGCAGAATGAAAATGACGAGAACACCACAACAAATTAGTAGAATAAAGAAAAGCCTGAAGGAAAAGAAGATAATCTCTTTCTTTTTTTGCTAGGAGACGAGATGAGTTGGACGAGATCATAGATAGACCGTCAATATATGAGTCTGCCTTACAAAGATTGCAGCAATTAATTCTTTGCAAAACACTAAAAGCCTACACATCGATCTCTCACGAAGCGGCGCACGTGCTTGCAGCTACCCGACCAATGGCTCTCGAGCTCGACGGGAGAGTTGCGAAGTACTGCGCCAGGAAAGGGAAATCGATAACATTGCACGGCATTCGAATAAACTTGGAAGAACTTCGATCCGACAGACTAAAAATCTCGAAAGCTATACAACTCATCAACGATGAAATCGAAAGAGTATGGTAGGAGAGATGGCAGTCTGCCACAAATGGCAGGAGAACGTACTTCTATTTCCCAGTAATCAAAGACAGATTAAAGTAGAGATGGCTAAATCCCAATCACTATACAGTACAGTTTATGACTGGATACGGTGCTTTTATGTCATACCTCCATAAAAAAGGATTATACGAAGACCAACTGTGTAGTTGTGGAGAAATAGAAAGCGAAAACCATATTCTCTTTAACTGCGAAGAATTAAGAGAACTAAAAAAGTCATTAATAGAGGCTGTTAAAGAGGAGGGCCATATATGGCCTTGCCCTGAAACGGCCCTAGTATCTAGCAGGAAAATCTACAACGTCTTTGAAGACTTTGCTAGAAAAGTCATAGAGCCCAGGAAAGGAGTACCTATAACAAAGAGACCACGCAGAAAAGTAGTTACTAACTACAGTAGAAAGACGCCACCTCTTACAAGGTCCCTAATCAAAGGACAAAACTCGCACAATGACTAAACTAATTTTTGAATTCTGAATAGCTAATAGAGCTTGAATTTTGAACGATAATTTTTGTACGTTGAACTTTAGAATTATATTCTGAAGTTCTATAATTCGATCGCTAGTTAGAATACCCGATTGAGCCGAATTTCGGAACCTGATTAGAATAAATGGCATGACTGGCACGAATACTAAAAATTACCTGGGGAGTCGCCTTGTCGGCTAGGCGAGACCCCTACCCTGACCCAAAGTCAACAAATATTGAATCGAAAGAGCAAACATCAGTATCAGCGAGTCATAAAAGCCTTTCCATAGAAAGAGAAATCCGAAATCGAGGCGAAAATCGGGAAATAACTTTTTCGAATGACGGATACCCACCAGCGTGAGCGGAGATAACCGAAACGCAATGGGAAGACGGCCACGGTAGGTCGAAGCGATGGACCTGTGAGTCGTGGGAGCAATCCCTTAATACAGGTACGCATGGTGGGATTCTTTGAACGAGCCCAGGAGGGGAGGCTTAGATGGTTGATCGTCTTAGGAATTTCCTCTGGCTGTCCTAGCTGGGTCTTTCTTCTGACATCCTAATTTTGATAGACCTCTGCGGGGTAGTTGTACCAGGTCAAGCAAATCTCGTAAGATTTGTATGCCGCGCGCTTCCGACGCGGTACATGTCGGGACAACTAGAGTCTCGTCGCGCCCAAACCGAGGGTCAAGCCTTTAGTTCCGCTCTCCTTGAGCGTGAACCTTGAAAAGATCGGTACTCCTTTCGAGGAGGTTGCCGTTTTGATTAACAAGGTTCCGACTCCCTGTGAGCGTCAGGGATGTCATAGCAAACTTGACTTCCGGATCTCAGAAGTACATTTGATAGCGAAGGAGTGAAAGACAGTGGGCTATGACAACCTAGAGTAAAATATTTACAGTCTGGAATTCCATAATAATACTATTTAATACAATTTAATGAATTTATGAAAAAATCTAAATTCAATAATAAATATAATTCTCATTATTATTATTATTTTTCATTATCATTGCTATTATCAGTATTACTGTTATTATTGCTATTGCAATTATGCTTATTATTATTATTATTATTATACGAGGGGGGATCAATAAGTCTTTACAAAATCCAAGAGATAGCGCTCGTCATTCTTAAATAATGATATTATTGGCAAGCAATACTACTAACAAGATATCGTACAAAGTTTTACTTCGATTCATGAAGTCGTCTTTTGTGAGCGTTGGTGGAACAAAAAGTTATTGATTTATTTGAAAAATGGAAAAAGCAGAGTTTCGAGCGATGATAAAACATTTTCATTTGAGAGCTCTTACACCAAAAGAAACCACAGTTGAGTTAAACGCCGTTCATGACAAGTCTGCCTCTGTGTTTAAGACTATTTATAACTGGGTAAATGAATTTAAACGCGGCCGTTCAACAACAAAAGATGAACCTTGTTCAAGACGCCCCGTAGAAGTGAGTACGTCCGAAATGGTTAACAGAATCCACGATATGGTGTTGAGTGATAGAAGATTAAAATTGCGAGAATAGTTGAGGCCACAGGGGTATCGAAGGGTACAATCATTTCAATTTTGCATGAAAAATTGGGGATGAAAAAAATACCAGCAAGATGGGTGCCGCCTTTGCTCACTGTTGAAAACAAACGAACTCGCGTGGTCACCTCTGAGGTTCTTTCGGCACGCATTCATCGTAATCCGGAAGACTTTTGGCGTCGACTCGTAACTGTAGACAACACATGGGTACACCACTACACTTCTGAAACCAAAGAACAGTCTAAACAATGGATTACTG